CCGAAAGTGAATCTAAGTCGTAGATCTTGATATGAGTTATTTTTAGCAAAATAGTAACATAAAATAAAATTGTAAAATAAATAAATCTTCGTTTGTCACGTTCAATCCCTTGTTACAATTGTTTTAGATTTTGCTAGTACTTCGTATTTTAAAATGTATTAATTGACTAATCTTCTTGACGAGAATGAGGCTACCTACCATACACTCTGTGCAAGTTAATGTCTAATTTAATGTACTTGTACTGAGCGTTTGCGACGCTGAAGCAACCCATACTAGTTCTTAGGAAAAATTCAAACGACTTTCAACAAGGTATCTGTATTGAAAACAGACACAAGTGGTAGATAGAGAATACTTAGGAGTGCGAATCACACTCTCTAAATAATTAGTTAAAATAGATCGATAACATTAAAAAATGGAGTGTTTCCTTTTAAAAAAGAGTCACAACAACTAGGCTCGGACGACTAGAAAAAGTTCAATAATTGACAAAGATGCTAAGCAATGTAAAAAGTTTTGTTTTGATGCCAGAACTGGTGGAAGATCACCACCACCACATGCTCTGCAAATTATGAAGATGTTTGTTCACATGCTCATGTTCACTCTAGAAAAATGATAGTTTCAGATCCATGGAAAAAAGAGAGTAAGAACTCATTACAAAAATACAGAAGAGATCAAAGTGATACGTAGTTAATTTGAGTCTGAAAATCAATATTTAAAATAAAATTGTTTATTGTAGAATTGACAATGAATGTTTAAATCATTATGTTCCACTCATACTCACCCTATTTATAATCGTGTATTATCCAAGTTGTGTGGGTTTGTATTCATGTATATGCATACCAAATAACTCTATGTTGAGTTCATGTCTTTTAGATTGCGTTAAAAATTTTCAATTCTATTCTCATTTACCATGAATAAATATTAACTGTAACGGTGATACTACGATATCATTAATACATGATATTACCAATCAATAATAAAACGTTACCTAAGATTAATGAACCCCACAATTCAGTAGTTATTAAATGTAATGGTTATTGATAATTTTTGAAAGAGTGGCATATATTAAATTCACATGATATTTTATAGGGTTAATAGTACTTTTAGTCATTAAAATATATATTTTTTGTCAATTTAGTTTTTATTTTATCAATTTTGTCAATTTGGTCCCTACAATATTCAATCCGTCAAGTTTTTTGATAGAAGTGACCACATATTATTTTTTTAGACGGTATTACGTGCCCAACACACGATCATTCTGTCAAAAATTTAATAGGACCTATTAATCAAAGGGTTTTTGGCATTATGTGGTTAGTTAAAGCATAGTGATTGAAGAAGAATGATAGTTTCAGATCCATGAAAAAAAGAGAGTAAGAACTTATTACAAAAATAGAGTAGAGATACTTAGTTAGTTTGAGTTTGAAAATCAATATTTAAAATAAAATTATTTATTGTAGGACTGACGATGGATGTCTAAATCATTCTGTTCTACTCATACTCACCCTATTTATGGCCGTGTATTACCCAAGTCATGTGGGTTCTTATCAATATGCATACCCAATAACTTCAGGTTGAGTTCGTGTCTTACAGATAGTATTAGAAGTTGTCAATTCTACTCTCCTATAACATGAATAAATATTTAAGTGTAACGGTGATATCACCGATCAATAATAAAATCCAACTAAAGATCAGTGAACTCCACAATTCCACCGTAGTAGTAGTCGTTAGATGTAATGGTTATTGATAATTATTGAAACAACGAGATATACTAAATTCAGATGATATTTTATCGGGTAAATAGTATTTTTTGTTCTTAAAGTATATATTTTTTATCAGTTTAATCCTCATTGTATCAATTTTGTCAATTTTTTGTTCTTGACGTATTAAATCCTTGTCATTTTGGTCTCTAATCAAACAATCTGTTAAATTTTTTTGATAGAAATGATCACGTGTCATTATTTTAAACGATATCAGATGCCTAACACGTGATTATTCCTTCAAAAACTAAACGATCCGTCTATATAAATAATGCTTACAAGAATCTTCTGCATTGATTATATCTTTTCTCATATGAGGCAGCGTCAGGCCACCTGAGTCAGCAAGCAACAAAAGTCATAGTGAATTTAAAGTTAGATATTAAAAAGACAAGCATTAGGGCCTATTAATCAAAGGGTGTTTGGCATTTGGTGGTTAGGTAGAGCATAAAGAATATGTTTAGAAAAATAGGTGTTTGCTTGAACAGTCGAAGATGACTGAAAGAGAAAATATAAGCAATCAAAGATAAGTTATTGTATATTTCTTGTACTTTGAAAAAGTTGTCCGACATTGGATAGTTTTATTCATGTGGCGTGTGGAATATTATCCCCACCCCATCACAACTTTAGTGGCTTTTCTTCAAGGTGGTTTGTATGTGTCTGTATGTGTGCATGTCAATTAGGACTGTTGACCTGAGTCAACGGGTAAGAATTTTTGAATTTTATTTATTGAGTCGATGAATTACGAAGGACTATTTCTTTAGTTGATCCTATTCAATTAAATATAATGTTCTGAGGCGAATTCTGTCCAAAAAAATTGGCTCAGAAGGTTAGGTAGAAATGCAGAATGCCTCACAAATTTTTAAACTTTAAGTTATTAATTTTTTGGTCATTTTAACAACTCAATTACCAATTTTTTAGGCTAATTTTACAACTACATTGTTAAAATATAATATAAAAATATATAAACCAACACAATAAATTAATAAAACTAAAGAAAACACAATAAATCTGATTTATAATTCTCTACTAGTCTAAAACATCATAAATAAAACACAAATCATATGTTTCATAAACGACGTTGTTGTATAACAAATAAAATGGCATCGTTTTATAACACATATTTTTTATTAAAAAAAAATTAAATATACATCTAGGTCGGATAGAAGTGTGAAAATTTTATGGATATTTCACATATCTACTCGATATTGGCAGAATACTAAAAAGGCCTTCCATTAGCCGACTGAAAAAATGTGGCAACCGAATTATTGGGTAAGGTAGAGTTGAAATATTGCAAAACGGGTCGGGTGAGCAAAATTTTGAACACCCTTAATGTCAATGTATACATGCAAATACACGGAGATTTCCTCTACATATTTTTTTCTTGTCGGATCACCTACCTTGTCTTCAAGTGGGACACATTGTATACAAGTGGATTCCTCACTCATTAATGATAGATAATTCATCGAGAAGGAAATTAAAAAGAAAAAAATTATATTGGAGGAGATCCTGATACCAAACATAAATGTGTGTTCGGTTTGGAGTGGTATGCATGTGTGTGTGAGAGAGGGAAGGGTCATGACATTAAATCTATGTTTTGTGTATATACTAGAGGTAATTCGTACCTGAAGATAGGGTGCAATGTGAATAATTTTAAGATGAATGTTAATAGTCATTGGACGAGTTTATTTGAAACTATCGACAAATTTGTTAAAGCTTGTTTTATTTTATATTATAGATAGCGCGTGAGGGTCGAGATCGGGTGGATCATTAAATAGTACTGGGGGTGAGACTCAACATCAGTCTGTGTCCGAGAATTAAAAATTCCTCAATCACTTGGCCAAAATTCACTTTCTTCATATCTAGTGATTTTAATTGATTGCCTCAAACTTGAAAGGGAGAGCTTCAATTTAGATTTTTATTGGACAATAATCCCATAATTATTTTGAACACATCTCCTTAGGAAAATAAGGAAAAGGAGCAACTAATAAACATAGAAATGTAAGACATGTGAATTGTCCAAACACATCTTATTCTTTAAGAAGGGGTTTGAAAGAGAATGATTGGCCAATAGAGAAAACATGGTGAATTGTTTTTTCTAGCTTAGGCATGTTCATCACCCACTTAATTAATTCTAGATATTGACATTTTTGGACAGTTTTTTTTGTGTGTGTATGTGTGTGAGAGGGAAATAATCAATTAAGTTTATGACGAAAATCGATTACTGATCTAATTTGAGTGAGAGGAATTTTTATCTTTTTTTATTTAAAATTTTTATTCAAAATTTTTATTCTTTATTTTCAATCGCCAAAACTAAATCATTGGATCCTATTTATAGATGGAATTTTTTTTTTTAAAGTATAGAAAATTGTGAGAACCTGTTATTATTTATTTACTTTATTTTTTTAATTTTTACTGTTTTCAATTTAGTTATCTATTTTATTTTTTTTTTGGAAATTTTCTTCGGCTGTGGGCTTAATTTCAGGGCTGTCTTAATCAGGCCATCCTACTAGAGCTAACATCACAATCCTATCTGTTGAGTTATCGGGCTACCACGGCAGGCTGAAATGGTTCATGGCCCAAATAATAAATCGTACTAAAGGGCCAGCCCATGGACTTTGGGCCATTTGCCAAGCCCCAAAAATGACCTAAAGGACAATAGACTAGAGTTGTAGTGAAATTGATGATTATCTTAATGACCATGGCCTAGCCACAATTGTTAGACATTAACATCGTAAGTTTAAACTTTGTTATCCTTCTCTATATAATAGTGTCTAACAAAAAAAAGAAGAGATTTGTAACTTTTACGAAAAAAAAAACTTGGTTTCTAACTTGAGTCGTGCAAATAGCGAACTAACATGTTTTGTAAAATGGGCAAATAAGTTTTACTTTTTTTTTAAAAAAAAAAAAGTCAATTCCATCAGAAAGAAAAACCAAAATTAATACATTCTTTGGATCTAATTATTTTTTTCAATATTTCATTAAAACAAAAGAAAAGAAAACCCATATATATATTCAAATGGATCCCATTTGAAAGAAGACATCTAACGAGACCCAGAGTTTCGTTATAAAATGAATGAAGATGAACTGTCATTAAACCTTGTGAGAAGAAAAATTTTAGAAGAAGTTTGGAAACATTGAATAATGTGAAGGCATGAGAGGGAAACACTATAAATATTTACATTGGCGTGAAGGACAAAATCGCCAATTACAAAATGAAGATAAAAATATAAAGGGCAAACTTTACAATTATCTTATTTTGGAACATCTACTCAGCTCTCCTTTATGGCTGATATCCTTGTTGGAGACACTCAAAATGCCTGATTGCTCCTCCACCTTCTCAATTAGAAGCTTTAACAGGGGAACCTTTGACAGTGTTCTGCATGATCCCACCATGATCAACTTTTTCTGTAAGAAACAAAATGGAAATTAAGAATGCCACTGGCATCTGTACATAGCAATTGAAAATTGGTTTTCAACTTCATATTAATCGTTGGAACAAAGGATGGTTAATAAGAAATGAATGATGCAAACCTTGGCGCGGGTAAGTGCCACATTAATCCTGTGCCAATCTCCAAGCAGCGAAGATATGCAATTCCTAGGATTTTCACTGGACCTTACAAAAGACACCAGTATGCAATCTTTATCCCTTCCCTGGACAATCAATGCATGGAACATTAGAAGCACTAATATAGGGTCATGATCTCTGAAACTAACTCAATATGCAATTTCTTTTAGTAATCCAGTACTTTGATTTAAAAAAAAAAAAATTAAGATGCACAAGAAAATTATATTTAGTAGTTAGTTGAAGTTATTAAATTGTTCAACCACGAGCCCATGATATGCAACTGTTCAGAATTTGTCATAGTTTTTTCCATAAGCTATATATGCAATGAGGACAAAGCATGAACAGGTCAAGCAATCTGACATATTTACTTGCCGATTGCATTGCACCTCAAGGCCTCAACCCATTCCATATAGGTCTAAGAGACATCAGAAATGTGAAGGTGATCTGTGTGCTGTACCCAATACTTCAGAAGTCAGCAGTTGCAGGATAATATTCTGATAATTACGAGAAAAGGAATACCACTATTTCCCCAAAGAAAGTTATGCACTATGTGACGACAGTTAGGTTTTTACATCAAATGTCTGAGGAACTTCAAGTGCATATGAACTTTGTGAGATTCCAGAACAAAGATGGAAACAAAGAAACATGACACATCCCAAAATCAAATTGAATATTTAGTTAAGATAGAAAGAACTATCAAATAAATGCAAGCATCCAAGCATTAATACAGCTGAAATAGGAAGCATGCAAAACCCAAAAACATTTATTTTACGTGTGAAAAGATTATTGCCAACAGAAAGAACAGGTGTTAGCATTGAGATTAGCTTTTTATAGAGGTTTTTTGATGTTCAAAAAGGAAACTCAGTATCACTGGATAGAGTGCAACAATATAAAGAAAGTATAACCTGGTATTTGTCAATGGTATGTATCTCAACAGAAGTGGAAACAGCTTGCCGGATAAGATTTGCTTGGGAGTTGTAGGGGGTAATGATGCCAATGTCTTCCCCTTCAATACCTTTACAAATCAATTTATCTGAGACCTATGTATAAGAAACAAAAAAACAATCACAGCGTAGGGTAAGAGCATCCCAATTTGATGATAAATTCCAAGAGTTAGGACACAACTAGGGAAAGGGCATACTTGTGCAATAATATAGGCTTCAATCGGGTTGTTCACAGCCTTGCGATCTTTTGCCTCGAAAGCAGGCAACGAATCTAAGTCGTGAACAAAGAATAGTAAACAAGTCGAGCTATATTTCTGAAAGTTGATTAATTGGAACTTTCTAAAAGAGGTGCAACAGAGGATAGATATTATTTGTACATACCTGTATCAATGAATATCACGGGTCTGATTGGATTTAAAGCCTGCATATAGATGACATTATTTGATCTGAGCATCCTCAAAGTACAAATAATATGCAGTAATTCAAAAACATGAATTCTTGTACCCGTGCAACTGACAATGGAGACGATAGCCCCCAATCAAAATGCTCTTTAACATATTCTATAGATTATTTTCACACATTCAAGAGGAAAGGTTGAAAAAGACAATTTTGCATAGGTATTTATTGTGTGAAGAGTACTTAAGAAAAGAAGAAGAAGGAGATGAGAATAAAGAGAATTTTAGAAAGAAGATTCAATATCAATAATCAAAGTCTACCAAAATAAATAACATATCTCGTATATATATATATATAGGGAGACCACAAATCCTAAAAGAAATAAATAGTCAGAATGATAATTAAACTCCTGAAAAGCATAATGACAAATAACTCATAATCCTTACGCCTACGCCTACTATAACGAAATATAATCCGATTCTTATCATTTCCCCCCGGCTGAAAAGAACTCGCCTCCAGAGAGTTACAATCATGATAATGTTATAGAAGATCAGGGTCAAGCCGACGAAACTCCTCCTCAGTAATCCATGAATCATCAGTCTCTGGACGATTTCTCCACTGAATAAGATAACAACGATATCCTCCATCCGAAGAACCCATAATCTGATTATCAAGTACATCTGCGATCTGGTCATGCAGCTGTGGTGGAAACAATGAAAGAATAAAAACTGTAGTTGATGCTAATGATGAAGCAAGTCCACCTATAGGAACACATGCTGGAAACATAAGAGGCTCAAAAGTACCATGATAAGGAAACAAGTCCTCCACATTGAAAATAGGACTAATACTCAGATTCGAAGGTAAGTCAAGGTGATATGCATTAGGTCCAAGCTTACGAAGAATACAAAAATGGCCAGTGGCTTGAGCAAGTAACTTTTTGAAAGAATTTTTAGGGTAATGTTCAGGATGCACACGAACCATGACATAGTCTCCCATAAGAAATTCTTTATTCTTACGATGAACATCTACAGCCAATTTATAATTTTCATTTCTTAATGTAATTTTTTGTCTTATATTGGTATGCAAGTCATGAATATGCTAGGCAAAAACTTCAGCTGAGTGTGAAGGGCAAAAATCAGGAGGTAAAGGTAATAAATCAATGGGCTGTCTAGGGGAATGGCCATAAACAATCTTAAAAGGGGATAGACCAGTCGACCTATTGACAGAGTTATTATAGGCAAATTCAGCACTAAACAACAACAAATCCCAATTTTTCATCTTCTCACCCACTAAACACCTAAGTAAATCTTCAAAGCTACGATTGACTACCTTAGTTTGACCATCAGTTTGGGGATAAAAGGCAGAGAAAAACTTAAGACTAGTTCCAAAGAGTAAACCCATGTAGTCGGACAACCTCTCTGAAAAATAACTTTGCTACATGTGAGGCATCAGTAGACCTAGTGCAAGGAATGAAATGGGTCATCTTAGAAAACCTATCCACAACAACTAGAATAGAATCATGATTACGGGTTGTTTTAGGCAATCCGAAGACAAAGTCCATACTAAGGTCTCTCCATGTAGAACTGGTAATGGTGTGCACAACCCTGTGTTTTATTTTCTAGCCTTTGCTAACCGACAAGTGCGACACTGTGACACTATCCTAATAATGTCACGCCTCAAAGTGGGCCAATAAAATCTATCCTCAACAAGTGCAAATGTCTTATCCCTACCAAAATGGCCTACCAAACCTCTCACATGTAATTCCCAAATCAAGAAATCCCTAAGTGAAGTACGAGAAATACATAAGGGCGACCCTCTAAACAAGTAACCATCTCTAAGGAGGAAGTCAATGTACTCATGACGGTTACCAGACTGAACCTCCTGAAAAATGATACCAAAGTCAAGACAAGAGGTATACTCATCTCTAATCCTGTCAAAGCCAATCACATGGACACTCATAGTCTGTAAAACAGTAACTACACGGCTAAGAGCATCCGCAAGCTTGTTTTCAATGCCCGCTCAGTGGTGAAGAACAAAAGTATACTCCTGAAGGAACTCAACCCACCTAATGTGCCTCACACTCAATTTTCTCTGGGAATGAAAGTATTTTAATGTCTGATGATCAGAATATAACACAAACTCAGATCGCAATAGATAATACCTCCAATGACGAAGAGCTTGTACCACAGCGTAAAACTCTTTGTCATATGTAGAGTATCGTTGTTTAGCTTCATTGAGTTTTTCACTGACGTAAGCAATAAGATGACCCTTTTGACTCAAAACTCCACCTATCCCTACACCAGATACATCACAGGCAACCTCAAACACCTTAGAAAAATCTGGATGTCGAAGAACGGGTGCCTCTGTCATCCTGTGCTTAATTTTTTGAAAGGCTCTAGTTACAGCAAGTGTCCATTGAAACTCCCCTTTTTTTCATGCACTCTGTGATGGGAGCCATAATGAAACTAAACCCTTTAATAAATCGTCTATAGAAGGTGGTCAAACCATAAAAACTTCGAACCTCATAAATTGTTCTTGGCACTGGTCAATCCCTAATAGCACGAATTTTCTCTGGGTCAACTGCAATACCATGCGCAGAAATAACAAATCCAAAGAAAAGCACTTGAGTTTGCATAAAAGAGCACTTCTTAAGGTTCGCATAGAATTTTTTCACACGTAATGTCTGCAAAATCTGTCGAAGATGATCAAAATGCTCTTCTTTAGACTTACTATAGATCAAGATGTCATCAAAGAAAACAACCACAAATTTTCCTAGGAAAGAACGCAGTATTTGAGTCATAACCCTCATAAATGTGCTAGGTGCATTAGACAATCCAAAAGGCATGACCAACCACTCATAAAGTCCATCCTGGGTTTTAAATGCGATTATCCATTCATCTCCTAGTCTAATTCGAATTTGATGATAACCACTGCGCAAATTAATTTTGGAGAACCAAAGTGCACCGGCCAAAAGGCCAAGCATATCTTCAAGTCTCGGTATAGAAAATTGATATTTGACTATAATTTTGTTAATAGCACGGCTATCAACACACATTCTCTAAGAACCATCTTTCTTAGGGGTCAACAAAGCAGGGACAGCACATGGACTAAGACTATGACGAACAGACCCTTTTTGCAACAGTCCATCTACTTGCCTTTGGAGTTCAGCACGCTCAGTGGAATTCATACGATAATGGGGAAGATTAGGCCATTGAGATCCTAAAACTAAGTCAATAGCATGTTGAACATCTCTCATTGGTGGCAACTCATCGGGTAGTTCCTCAGGAATCAAATCATGGAACTTTCTCAATAGACTATCAACCTCAGGCAAAAGAGCGTCTTTAAATTCCGGAGGACTTTGAACAACTTCTTTGACAACTAGAGCTACCATTATATCAGACTCTTTTCTTTCTTTCTCAATTTCTCTATGGGTCAAGATGTGAAGGTCTTTCTTATGAATTACTTGGGAAGATGACCTATGCTTTGAAGTATTACTTTCTGAGGGTTTCACAGGTTTTAACTTAAAGGGTTTCCCCTTATGCTTAAAAACATAGGTATTTTTCTTCCCATAGTTTGTCACATCTAAATCAAAAAGCCACGGGCGACCCAACAAGATATGAGCGACATCCATAAGTAAGACATCACACCATATATGATCTGAATAGTCACCCATCTGAATAGGGACCAAACATCTATGTGAGACTGGTAAGGAGGTCTTGTCAACCCATGCGACTTTTTAAGGTTGTGGGTGTGTCTCTGACTTAAGCTGCAACTGAGCTACAGCTGATTTAGAGATGACATTCAATGAATTTCTCCCATCAATGACGACCTTGCAAACTTGACCCCCACATCGGACTAGAGTATGAAAAATGCTGGTGCGTTTCCATGCTGTTGTGTCTGAAGGGTTGGATAAGATACATTGCATCACACTGACTCGGGTGTCATCGGTTTGCCACTCTTACTCACCCTCATCTAGTAACTCTAAGGGTTTCTCATCCAAAAGATCAACTTCTAGGTTAACATCCTCTCTGTCAAGTGAATTCTCTAATCCCTGGTCAATGGTCAAGGTACACTGAGGGCACTGTGAAGCAATATGACCCTTGCCATGACAACGGTGACACTCTATGGAAGAATTGTCCTGGCGAGAACTTGTGAGTGTAGAATCTCAACTCCTAGTAGTATTACCTCTCAAGTTGGGATAGTTGTTACCCCTGGATGTGACAGGGCCTGACTGGGTGACGCCTCGAGACCGATCAAATAGGACTGACTTTGATGGTTGAGATACTCCGGTTTGAGAAGGCATTCGACGCTGAAAGGGTGGCCTAAGGTATTGTTCAATCTCTAAGGCTTTATAATATGCTTCCTCAACCGTTTCAGGAGAGTGTAAGTTAAACTCTCTCTTAATCTCAGGTCGTAAACCATTAATGAATTTTGTAACTGTTACCCAAAACTCTTCATTTATGTCACATCTCAAAAAGAGCTCTTCAAATCGAGCTAGTTAATAAGTCACACTCGAGGTTAATTGATGCAAGTTCATCCACTTGTCCAAGAGTTGGCGTTTATAATAACTAGGGAGATATTTATCTCGCAATCTTTGTTTCATCTCAGCCCATAAAGTAATAGGTTGTCCCTCTAGGTGCTCTTGGTCTCGTTAGACTCCCTGCCAATATCTCTTAGCCGAACCAACGAGTTTCATTTTGGCAAAACGAACCCGATGGTTGTCGGACATATCATACCAATCAAAATAGTCATCCAACCAATCTAAGAAAGCAATAGGATCTAACCTACCATCAAAGCTAGGAGCGTCCACTTTGACTCTTTGTGTAATATCCCTAGATTCTTCATGGACATGCCTATGTCGAGGATTATGGTAACGCAGAGGAGGAGACCTATGGTATCTAGCATTTGGGCGAAAGGGCTCACGATAACCATCCATATCACCCTCTGCAATACTGGAATTTCTAGATGATACTTCTGTAAATTACTAGAACTTCTGGGGTGATTTTATAACTTTAGAAAACTTCTGGGGAGGTCCCTGTAATTTTGGAGTTTTATGGGGGTGAAAGGGTTAAAACCAATGTCTTCTTCCTTAACACGATGGAACGAGGAAGAAAATGAGCAGCGATGAAGTCGAAGCAGCATAGGTCAACGACGAAAACAGGCGCAATGAACAGTAACAACGATGAACAGTGCACAATTATTATTTTTTTTTTTTATGGAACGAGACCAGAATAGTGCACACAATGAAATTTTTTTTTTTTTTTTTTCTAGAACAAGAACGATGAACACTAAGAATCTGCCAAAGTTTTTTTTTTTTTTTACCTGGACCGCCAATGAACAGGGCCGATGAACAATGGTTTTGCACGAACAGTTTTTTTTTTTTTTCGATGAACGGCGTTGTTGAGATTTTTGTGATTTATACGAATCAAAATTAGGCTCTAATACCAAATTAATGTAGATCGTATTAGGAAAGAATTAGGGATGAGAAAATAAGGAGATGAGAATAGAGAGAATTTTAGAAATAAGATTCAATATCAATAATCAAAGTCTACCAAAACAAATAACATATCTCCTATATATATATATAGAGACCACAAATCCTAAAAAAAATAAATAGTCATAATGATAACTAAACCTCTGAAAAGCATAATGACAAATAACTCATAATCCTTACGCCTACTATAACGAAATATAATCCGATTCCTATCAAGAAGTGACTAAAACCCAATCTAGTAGGTGTACCACCAAACGGACAATGTTAACCTTCGTTGACATTGGCATCACATACAAAACACTGGTAACAAGGCCCGATAATTTATTGGTTCCTTTAGATATATCAAAAACCTTTACAATATATGTGGTGGCTCCATGTGGCAATCCCCCATTCTTCCATTATAAACCAGAGAGATGAGGTGCGGTACCACTCCATTACCCTCACTATCCCGTTTACTTGCATTGTTCTCTTTTCTTCTTTTTAGTTTGTTTTCTTGCCTTCCAGGCATATAGCCCAAGGTGTATCAGTAATTATCTCATAAGCATTAACTCTTGCAACTGATAAGAAAAGTCTGCTTCTCAAATTCAATAAGAAAACTCCTTTTTTGTTAAAAAGGATATGCCTAATGTGAAACACAAATATTAGAGTGACATGATAACATCACCCTTTGTGCCTATTCATTTTTTGAACCTGCATATGATGGCAAATTAAGACCAGGAAGTTCATTATCTAGGACAAAGTTAAGTTGAATTCCTGATCCAAAACGGCACTGAACATGGTTTTTTGAGAAGAAATGAATTGAAATCTACAATTACCTCCTTTAACCATGATGACAGAGATGCTGAACTTGTGTACTTAAGTTTGGCATCCTCTATCTCAGAAGAACCACAACGTAATCTGTTACCATATATCAAGGCATTTGATAGTTCCATAATGGCTGCACACATACGGTACTGCATATTGCAACATATTTGTATTTGGTTAATTTACCAAACAACCAAAAAGAGTAAGGAGAAAAACAACAGAAGTTAAACTTGAAGCCGAGTAACCTGACTCTGCAAAGCTGCAATTGCCTGGGGATGTGCTTCTGAAAGCCGGCAAAACAGGCTTACACCCATCCCATTCTCGCGGGCCTCTGTACTCTAATAGTGAATGCAACCATATTTAAATTTGTCAGCCATACAATCAAAAAAAAGTCAGCAGTCAGAGCTTTCGAGAGGAGATAAACACCTGCACTAGTGGTGGCAGTTGATAATGATCTCCCACAAGGACAAACTTTGATGCAAACATCAACGGCCCCAGTGATACCTGACAGGATAATTATAAACTGTGAATTTTGTATTTCATGAAATCCAACCACAGATCTCAACTTCTACAGTTGGTCATGCAACAAAGTAGTGACAAAGAAAACATTTAAGCATATACACATATGTAAACAATAATCTACCACCAACGGTGGACTTGCACGATGTGTGGAATTTACGATCCTCCCTAATTCTTCTACAATTACTGAGCCTCATCATTTGGGATATTGAATAAGAATTCCAGTAAATTATAAGGTGACACAAATAAATTTGTAAAAAAAATTAGAGTGGTAGTTAATTGGGAGGTGAATGAGTGATTATATGGGGGCATGCGTTGTGTTGTAATTAAATAAATGTGAATTCTAAGACAAAAAGAAACGGAGGGAAGACTTCCTAAGGCCTCTCTCCCCTAAATTTTTTTTTTTTTTTTATGAACACACGTAAGAGAACATATGCAAATTTTGAATATACTTTACTGAACATCATTTGCAGCCGCAAGAGTAAGAAGATCAACAAGCCCAAGTCCAAGCACCACTCCAAAATGACCTAACATTTAAAGGAGTAGATGGGAGCTTATCAATTACCTTGAAACTCCTACCTCAACTGACGTGGGATTTCAATTCATCTTTTTTTTAATTCTCTCCCCTAAATTTATTGTATCAATATATAGTATAGATTACATCAAAGTATAAAAATCAGTAGTTATACATATTTATATACATTTGTGTATCATAGCAACAGACACACAGACACGTGGCTTTGGAGGGAAAAGAAAAAGGGGGGGGAGGACATTGTTATACATGTGCTGAGATTCTTTTGATTGAAGCTAAATGGCCAAATATTAATGTTTGATAGCACTCAATGTTTTATTGTTGTAGATACAAATAAAACCGCCACATAAAGGTCCACAAAAGTTAGCTGGCATATTAACAATTAAATACTGCATCCCATGTACTTCAATATTTACAGTTTGCCATCAAGACATTAGCTACATAATTTAATCATCCCAAAATGGAAGGATGCTGAGGGCCTCTACTTTATGACTATGTTTCTCAAAGCATGACCAAATCCCATATTGCTGCTTAGAAACTACTAACACCTATTAGCACCCACACCATGGCTTTTAACAAGATGAGACATGTAAATTAAAATAACATACAGGGAGGGTAGTCTGTCCAGCTTCATCCATGATGCATACATCAAATCTTTTGTTGGCTAGCAAGGGGCTAGTTATCCCTAAACAAGTAACAGCAACGACTTTGATTTGATCTAGCCTTAGCTTTATTTCTTCAATGCCATGCATGTCCATTGCTGTCATAGAAGGCTCTAATAGTAAGTTTAGAAGAACATGCAAAAATAACTTTCTGATTATAAAAATCCAACCTGATAAGCAATGGCCCTGAACTTCCTTATGCACAGCTTCATATCTTCCAATGCGTATAAAATCTATCCCCTGCAGTAGTTGTTTATAAGTCACACAAACCAAAAAAGGAGACAATTTTTATAAAAAAAAGTTGGTGCAATAGCTACATCATGAAATCATTAGCATACTTCAAAATAATTTGCAGCATGGGAGTCATCATTAGTAGTGCTTCTGCAAAGATCATGTCAGCAAGTTATTCCACCCGGTTCAAAAACTTCTCAGGATTGTGGCTATGATATCCCGTTATATTACATATTAGGAAGGTGACACATTAACATTTTAACACAACTTGCCCAAATCTTGGTCTCAGCCAAGATTTATACGAGTGCGCATCATCCCCCCCCCCCCAAAACAACAAACCCGAACACATTCACACAAAAAAAAACTGCAATCAGAAAAATGTGGGACAGTATTTTAGGAAAGATACAAAGGTCATTGAGGCTCGGTGAATCCTCAGCTTTTAGATTCATTATTTCTTACCAGTTACCAGCAATGATACATCCACATATAGTTTATGCCGTGTAAAAAAATATTGTACAAGATTTTACATGATATGCTATCACAAATACCATTAGAAATTAAAATCACAACCTATTGACTTAGATGTTTTATACTCAATTTCTGTATTTGTTTCAACCCACGCCTTTCTTCTTATTTATAATTAGTGTACTAAGGGAGTAGATTCTCTAAATCCTGTCCTCCACCCTAATTACAAAAAAAACAAACACTAAGAAATCTCACAAGCTCAAGGGAAGGAAAGTCAGCCTAGGGCTTGCAACAATCACAATAAATCTATAAAGTCCTTTCTGTTTAGTAAAAAGAGCACTCAAAACCATGTAGTAGAACCACTAATATTTCTGTTCCACCAATTGCCAGCTGATTTTGCAGACAGAAAGTTATATTTGAAAGCTGAAATACATTTTCATTGCTTTATTTTATCATGAAATAAGCACTTTTTAGCTGTTAAGCTTGAGAATAGAAGTCTGATTTGATGCCATTACTAGGACTCTATAATTAAGCTAATAGCCAGAGCTTGACGCCTCGAATATATGTTTAGGCTTATTCATTAACTAAACAAGCCAAGGTCAAGCTTAAGTGTCCTTATGGATTGGTAAAGAGATCAAGCTTGGGCAGCACAAAACTTGGCTCAATAAAATTCATGATTGGTTGCTGTAGGATCCTTTTAGTTGAGGTATCCCTTGACAATCTAAATCAACCAAAACACTCTCAGCAAAAGAATCACGAGTCATGCAAGTATGGCCATCTATTACAGTAAAGAATCAAGTTAGCTTCTGGAGTACATTATAGGAAGTAGTCTGCATGAGTTAAGAGTCTTTTATCAGGAAATTTGATAAGACTGATTAGTTATGCAAGCAAACTCTCAATCTTTGCCAAACAAGGTCATATCTAGGCTTGAATACACCTTCCGAGCTCAGGTAAATTTGGTTTTGACTCTAAATTGATCCTATGCAATCGATTCCAGTTTGAGCTCAAACAAAGAAAAGATGCATGCATTATTACAAGTACGCAAGGTAATTAGTACAACCTGCCCTTATTGAGAAGGGGATTGTAATACCCACAATAGGGGTTGTAATACTACAAATCAAGCTATCCTAGCATCCCAACCCAATCCTTAATACGAACTTTGATATTTATCATGTGCTTGCTTCTAATAGAAATAAATGTTTGGTTTCAGAGCAAAACAAAACAGAATTTTAAGGGCTGACAACAATTTGAAAAAAGACCCCCTAAAAATCTAGAGTCGACTAACTCTGAAGAATTTCATCTCTATACTACTACTGAGGAAAAAGGTTTGTGAAAGCACTTTTATTATGCACATCCAATATGTGCTGGAAATGGCACTTTTCAACTCCTACTACATGCTTCCCAACCCCCAGATACTTCATGAATTGAAGTTATTGCTTATTGGCTTATGAAAAGTTCAAGCAAGTTGGTTTTTTCTTACTACGAAGAATTTAAAACCCATCAGATGATGCATTTTTATTGGGGACACTATTTTAGGATTGAAGGAAATAAAACAATGATTTATGATCCAACTATCCATTTTATTTTTGTAACAAAAAAAAATATATTTATTATCTTGGGATCATGCAAAACAAATTCAGTTTTTATGGCCAAGTAAGAAAGAAGTTCAAACAAATTCTCACATTTGCTGTTCCTTGATAAATGTATGAACTGTCATGTGACAAACATTTTACAAAAAGTAATCTGTCGAATTCCTGAATTGTGCCACTAATTATGTATTTAGACTTCCGAAAGAAGTCTATTAGCCATGATAAACATACTCCAACATATAAAATGCAACCGAATCCTCTACCAATTATTCAAATGAGTCTATGAAATTGAAAAAGAGGCAGAAAATGTAGTTATTTACACATTATGCAAAAAGTACATGAAGTAAGCAGATAAACACAACTACCAAAAAAGTCCATTTCTTCTTCAGTCAAAAAGACATGCAAGGCACGAAAAATAGAAGATAAGAGACAGCTTGAGAAGCAAAGTGTACTTCTGGTTGTAGGGCCATATCTGAAGCTTGAATATTTCTACTCCTATAATTGTTTTTGACAGTGACAATAACTTCTTCTCTAGTTGAAGAAATAAATGCAGCACTTCTCTTGGGCTACCAATACTTTCAAGAAAAACTCAGCTTCCTCAAGAACAGCAAATTATGTGACGCTACACTCGCACTCTCAGGGTTGATATACTAATCATTTGTAACCTATTTATGTCACTAACATAGTATAACTATTATAAGATGCATCGAGGATAGAGATGACCTTAGCTTTCAGTTTGATAAGTAAATTATCAACAGCTGAGTTTGTGTAGGACGTAAGCAAAATGGATGCACCTCTAATCAACAACGCCTTCACGGCATGCACCAGAGTGGATGTTTTGCCTGTCCCAGGCATTCCTAGAATAAGTGCATAATCCTTTGCGGTAAGTATCTGAAATTATCAAAGTCTTACTAAGCAACAGCAAGAATCTGAATATTACAAGTTAGCAAACTTCCAACCAAAACACTTAATTCTGTGGAAAAAGCATAAAATGGAACTGGAATGGATATCATGAACCACTGTTAAGGAACAACTGTCAATACATAGCACCTTGATTATAGCTCTGCGCTGATCATCATTCAGATTTTTTTCCGACCAGATGTATGATAGGGCTGGATCTTGACTAAATATACATCCACTGTCAAATCTGGGAGCCTGTAACAAGTGCACAAGCTCCCATAAAAGATGACCTTCACACACAACGAGAGAGAAAGAGAAATGATATCAATTTATAACTGAATCACCTCAAGGTCAACTATCAGCTTCCTAAGATGAGAACTCTGATCATTTTGCAGAAAGAGCTGAACAAGGTTGAACCTTCATAAACAAAGATAGACATGTAAGGCGCATATTGCAACCATTTTGACAACCAAGTGTGCTACAGGTAAAGAAATCAATTGTGAAATAAACCACCTCATAATTGCAAATGAAGTCATAATTTCATCCTTGTCAATCCGCCAGACCTGCCGACAGAGATCTTGTGCCACTGAAGAAGGGCTACTTCCAGGAAGCCTTAAGCACTTTGAGAAAGAAACCTATGAGTTTTATTGAAGAAAGGAATTAGATAAGTAAGACTTAATTTTATAATGTGATGCCACAGTATGGTTAATTAGATTTTCAATTTTTTTAACATAATTATCTTGCATCTCCTCAGAAGGCAGGAATGCACACATAAACAGATAATTTGCTTAGGGATATGACAGAATATTAAATACTGCAATAAGATACTTACCAAAACATGGAAGTTGCTGATATCCACTATGACCCCACTAGCAACTATCAAACGATCAGGTTCAGTGCTCAGCATCTGAAACAATATAAAAATAATTATCTATGCAATTACTTGGTTCATAATGAATATGTGTCAACATGAAGTGATATTGAACTCTCTACAGTTAAATGTTTCTGAATAAGACATGTTCATCAGTAACAGGCATAGCGTGAGCAAAAATTTGCAGGCAAACATGTAAGATGTAACTAACTGGTTGGAACTATTCTTTTGCTGCATTGCATCCTTCACAAGCACCGCAGAAAATAAATGTTTGTGCGAAAGTGTAATAACATCTTGGTATTCTCAGATATTAAATCAATGCCAATGGAGAAAAAAGCACAGCCAAATAGTTATGTAAAAATATCCATACCACATAGTCCCCAGTTCTTAGGGTGCAATCCATGTTGTTTATTGGAGAAGAGGCAGGACCCAAAGAATCCATTTCATATGCTTTACCATCAGGTGGAGGCAAATCTTGGCGCATGAAGCGATAAATAAATCGGTTGCTCTTAGAAAACTTTTTTGGTAAGAGTTTATCTGAAGTGTCAAGAACTAGAGAAGAAACACAACTAGTGTAGTGTTCACTCGTTAAACTACGAGAACACCACATTTCTTTCTTCACAGCCTGAAATGGTGAAAAAATGAAAGAAAATAATTTCACACTGACCCTTTAGGAAGCAGGTTTTGATATTATGAAAACAGTCATTCCAAAAATTGCACCTCCAATTCTTTCGCCTCTAAGTCAATCAAACGATCCCACTTTTTCAGGAAAACACAATGTGCAGTTGACAAATGGTTAACAAGTGAATCAAACAGCTCACCCAATCCACTATCCGCTGTGCTTCCTCCATGCACCTTCAACATATAATACAGCATTCAACAGCATATACAAGCAACACAATTGACATGGTAATTAACCATGCTGATACATTTCTCTATGACAAAAGATACTATTGAAGTGAGGACTGAAAATAAAAACTCAACCGCTGCTCGTACAATGGAAGTGCATGAGCGTGCGTGCTCATGATTATATGATATTTTCATGAAAGGGCTTCCATTACTTACATTGGAAGGTGAACTCAGTTCAAATAGAAAAGATAGGAAGGAATAACATCACTTGAACCTAATTTATTGACCTAACCTATTGCTGCCTTTGGATTGGAAATGAGCCCTGTCCAATATTGGGACCCATTTGGAATCCAATAGTAGCAACGGAATAGGTCAACAAATTAGGTCCAAGTAGCATTAAGTGACAATAAGACTAGGCCACCCTTTCGAGTGTGCACTGCTTAAGAAGAAACTTAAAAGGAGACTCTGTGACCTGCTTTTAGCATCATATAATTTTTCAATGTACACTTTCAACAAATATGTATGTACAGAGGAGTTACTTCACACATATCCCTCTACAACATAATTTTTCTCTACCACATATAATAATTAAACAGTTTAAGTTCATTTCTATCAATTCAGAACAAGATTTCTTCTTTCTGGCACCACTCAAACAATGATTCAGGAATCCTTGAACTTTAGAAACATCAGAAGTTTACCTTATGGTAGACAGTACAGACATTAAGGTGCCTGCAACCCTTGCACATGTTTGGACTCTGAATATAGAAGAAAAGGGAAAATTATCAGAAGCAATCCATAAAGGATATTCAGGCAGATAAAATAATATTGAACAATCGTACCTGTAGCATTTGTGGAAGTTGCTGTGACATTGATGCCTTGAGAATATCAGTTGCCAGTTCATTACGACGCATAATTAGCCCAACCAAGTCAGATCTTTGAACCACAATTCCCTTCACATAAATCCATTGATATAGTTAATACATGAAAAGAGGAAGAAATAAGACAGAAGTACTTAATTTTACCTGTGTCTGATCTGTGTGTAGATAGTATAAAAGACCAGAATCAATGTTCTTTAGGTATCTGAAAGGAAAAAACAAAATAAAAAGAAAGAAAAGGATACAAAAAAGGTGCAAAAGCATCATCTATCCTTAATTCTCAATAACAAAAATGTAACATTTGAATAAATTGGCCTGACCATACTCACCTGTCGGACATAAGGAGAGTATATAACATCACTTGAGCATTATGTTCCATAGCTGTCTGCATAAATGACAGAGTATGAGCGCTAGTAAAAATAAGATCAAGAAAAGAAAAAATAGTAAGGGTGGTATCTACTAAATATGTCATAAGTTCAGATCATCTCCGCATTTCATTGTGCAGAAATATCTCTTGGATGAGAAGCTTGCCTGGCCACTGGTTCCTTTCCCAGTTTTGAACTCTAAAGGCATAATCTTCTCATCAGTTTTATTGGTGTCTGATTCAACTTTTACTCGGACAGAGGCATCAATAACCCCTTTCAAGCCATACTTCGGAGCCCATGCCATCTCCTCAATATCAACTACCTACATTTGAAGAGGATATTCCATGAAACAAGAAAACATTACTTCACTTACAAACTGATGAGTAAATGCTAAGTTTGTAAATGTGAACCCTTTCAAAGTGCTTATGACTGGAAATTTCAAGCAAACATATGAGCATAAAAGCATCAATCAACTGAGAAACTTAGGCCGATATGGATGTTTTATCATGTCTTCCAACATTCTTCAAATACCAAGCAACGTTGTATACATTCCTAATTGCATGAAGTCAGTGGCAGATCCAGCACTTCCACATTGAATGGGCAAAGGAAGGTCTCTATCACTCTAACCAGAATGTCAACTTTGGCAAACAGTTATTTTCCTATTTAGTCGAAAGGTTTAGAAAACAAGATATTTGTCACCAATATGCAGTAGATTACTAGAAAACTTACATAATTAAATGCCTTTATCTTCACTGTTTTCTTAGGAGGGTTCAGATTGTTTTCAACTTAAGCTATATAATTTTTCCAACAATCTTGCCTGAGATGTTAATTTCTAAATTTAGAAACTTTAAACATCTCAAAAGTTCATGTAAAATTTCCAACTAAATATCCATAAAGTACATCAAATGTGTTCGCATCACGAGTTTGAATTAAGGAATTGGGATATCCAAGGAATTATTGGATAGAAGAGAGAGAGAGAGATCAAATGAATATACAAGGAATTATGGGATATCCAAAATTAGTTGGTAAGAGTTAAAGGGGTAGATGAAATTTATAAAAGGGGCTTCTGCAGACTACAAAAACCAAAGAATCTGGCACCATTATGGGATCTCTTGTAGGCACTAGAGGTCTCCTTTATTCAGGAAGACACCCCAAACTATGGAGACAAACGGCATTTACCAGGTATATGGGACTGATTACCCTCCCTTCCCCCTCCATGACCCAGTGCATGAAATACTGCTATGCATATACATATCTGAGCACATTACTAATGCATTCAAAGCCTAAAATGAGGTTTGTAAACTAATAGAGTTATGGAATGTATAAAAAATTGATCAAACACGTAGATGGAAATAAAGATGACCCATTAACTTGCCTTACCTCAGATATTTTGACCTTCTGTATTCCATCATCAGATCTAAAATCAACACTAGGAGTTTTCGACCCCTGCAACAATTTTGGAAACATTAGCCTCTAAAATTATATGCAGTATAACATGAACAAAACTGAAGGCTATTTTTGAGATAGATGTAAACCGCAACCGCCTTGCAAGACAATATTCAAAAACTTACATGTTATACAAGTAAAAAGACATGCAGGTATTGGTTCCATAGCTCACAAAGGCAGTAAAGGAAAAGAGGAATATCATTTGTAGAAAATAACACAATCCATAAGAAGACAACAAAGCTTCAATTTCTAACAGAAGGAGGATAATAAAGGGGCAGTTTGAACAAAACAATACTCATTGAAGTGCATAATTGGCTTCAGATTTAGGCATATTTAGCAAGCCTGTACGTTTACTTTTCTGCTAAATATGCACATATGTACACACTCACACACATGCATTCTAATGACTACAAATTCCTAAAGCAATATTCCTAGACCAACTATTTCCAATAAAGTTAGCACATTGACAATTAGCTCATGTCAAGTTGGCTGAGCATCAAGACCCTTGCAAAGTTCACAGTGGACTCGAGTATGACAACCCCGTCTAAACTTGTCTGACCCCAGCCACACAGCATCCCATAGGCCATAGTTCAAAGCAACTTATAAATGATAATTAGAAACACTTGAAATAAATGTGAGCAAAGAAAGGGATACAAACTAAGTGTAGAACCCCCGTATATATAGCCAATGAAAATTACAATAATCGTAAAAAAGTAAAAAAAAAAACTATAATAAACCCAAATAAATTAAGTTGTAATATCTCCAACATTCCCCCTCAAGTTAGGCGCAAAAATGTCAACTAAGCCAAGCTTGACAACGGAGTCCCGAAGAATGGATAGAGTGACAGGTTTGGTGAAAACATCTGCAACCTGATCACCAGTCCCTACAAACAATAGAGTGACAATACCACTGCTAACCTTCTCCCGAAGAAGTGAACATCAATTTATATATGTTTCGTCCTCTCATGTAATACAGAGTCAAAAACGAACTAAATAGTAAATCGATTATCACAATATAATATAAATGAAGAAGTCATTGGAAATCCCAACTCGCCAAGAATCGATCATAGTCAGATAATCTCACATGTGTCAAATGCCAGTGTCAGCGCCTGATACTCTGCCTCTGCTGATGAGCGGGAGACAACTGACTGCTTCTTGTTTTTCCAAGAGATAAGATGAGTCCCTCGAAAAGCATAGAAGTCAGTAGTAGATCGATTGTCACGCGCTCCCCCATAATCTGAATCTAAATAACAGGTTAAAAAACCAGTCTGAGATCCTCATACATAGAACAACCCAAGTCCAAGACAAGACTTGAGGTACCGAAGAATATAATAAACTACATCAAGATGAGGTTGACATGGTCTGTGCATGAATTGACTAACTCGATTGACAACGAATGAAATGTTTGACCTAGAGTTGGCTAGGTAAATAAGTCTACCTACCAACCTCTGATAGACAGTCAGATCTCTCAACTCCTCACCTTTAGCAATAAGTTTCAGGTTTGGAATCATGGGTGATGATGCCAGTTTGCACCCCAGCATCCAAGTGTCTGAGAGAAAATCCAAAACATACTTTCTCTGAGAAAGAACAATACCCTTGCTGTTACAGTAACTTCAATCCCAAGAAAGTATCGCAAAAATCCAAAATCCTTTACATCAAAGGTTTTCCCAAGGTCTACTTTGACCTGCGCAATCCCAAAAATATTATCTTCAATAATAATAATATCATCAACATATACCAAAAGGATGACACACTGTCCAGAAGTATTCCATTAAATGAAGCAGGTATGATCAGAATGGCATCTGGTGAACCCTAAACATACAACTACATCACTAAAACGAAAAAACCAGGCTCGTGGTGACTGTTTCAGTCCAAAAAGAGACTTACGCAGTCGACACACCTTTCCAGCTACTCCCTCACCACGGAAGCCGGTGATGCATCCATATAAATAATCTCGTCTAGATACGTGAAGAAATGCATTCTTCACATCCAACTGATAAAAAGGTCAAGAATACTCCACAACTAAGAAATAATCAATCAAACAGTAGTCAATTTTGCCACAGGGGCAAAGGTAGCACCAAAATAACGACTTAGTACCTGAGTAAAGCCCTTCGGTTAAATCTATCCTTATGACGATCAATAGTACCATCCGCAAAAAATTTCAGGTGTAAAACCAGCGACAGCCAACAGACTTCACCTCTGAAGATAAAGAGACAAAATCCCACATATGATTATGCTAAAGAACATCCATCTCCGTCTGCATGACAAGAAACCTACTGGGGCTCCCTCATAACCTCTGAAACAAAGCGAGAAACTGGCGTATCTGATAAGGCCATACTATAAGCTCGAAATGTAGGAGACAAATCACTATAAAACACAGAAGTAGAGATTGGATATAAAGTCCTGACAATCCAACCATAACGAACAACTGGACGACGATCACGCTGCGGATAACGACGCCCTAAATCATCATCCTCCACTGACAATGTCTCATCAGAAAAAATAACCAACTCAGTACCTGCAATCTCATCAGTACTAACAAGTGCATCAATATGCTCAAAGAACTGAGAAGTATTACCTACATCACCTGAGGTAGAAGGGACATCAACAGGGGGATGAGAACGAGGGCGACGAACATAAACCTACAAAGAAAGAGAGACTGATGACTCTGTACTGACAGGGACGAGTAGCTCTGGAGAAGGAGAGATTGATGACTCTATACTAATAGTCACCAATGGCTCTGGCTCCTGCGATAACGAAAAATCAAAAGGGAGTATCATCAACTAGAAGGGCAAATATAAGACTGAAAGAAAAATAAGGAATGTGCTCAAGAAAGATAACATCTAGACTGTGATACATACGGCGCCATATAGAATCATAACACCGATACCCCTTAGACTGATTACAATAGCCAACAAAGACACAATAAATCGCTTTATCATCAAGCTTATGGCGAGTAGGAGACTGATTCTGAACACAAATATGTGCAACCAAAAACACGAGGGGGAACAACCAAAAAAAGTGTCCGCTCAAGAAATAAGACCTGTAAGGGAGCCCTATGCTGAAAAACACGACTCGGTGTACGATTACACAGAAAGGTAGAAGTCAAAATAGCAAAAAATCAATAAGATTTTGGTACTCTCATACCTCTAAGCATACAACGTACCATCCCTATTAGACTCCTATTTTTCCTTTCAACAATTCTATTTTGCTCAGGAATATATGGACAAGTGAGCGGCTGAAAGATACCTTGAGAGGAAAGGTGAGACACTAAGGCATCGGACACATTCTTTGGTATTATCTGAACAAAGAGCATAAATAATGACATCGAATTGTATCTTAATCATTTAGATAAACTGTGATGACAGGGACACATCACATAATTTCTTATGCAAAAAGTAGATCCAAGTACAACAGGTATGGTAATCTATAAATGTCACATAGTATCGAACACCTGACAAAACAGTAACAGGAGAAGGTCCCCAAATATCAGAATGTATTAGGTCAAATGGCTTGGGTGACTGGTGCAGGCGAGGAATATAACTGGTCCGAATATGTTTTGATAGGGAACATATAACACAGTCAAGTTTACCACCAATACAAGTATTGCTCAAAGCAAGAAATAACATACATAAATATTTAAAATTTGTATGTCCAAAACGATCATACCACAACTGAACAGTTTGTGATGAAAAATCATAACGACAAGTATCAGACAAGATACTAGCATGCAAGTTAGGAACAGATAAAGACAAAGTAGGTGCAGGTGATAGAGGTGGAGGAACTGGTAAAACTAGAGGTGGATCACCTAGATAATACAATCATCTCTCTCATGTCCCCTGATAATAATCTTCTTGGTACTCAGGTCCTGCAAATAACACGAA